AGTAGATAAAAATCATCATCTCCATCGAAGATGGATCAACCCTTTCCCCCAACTCCTAGCTTCTCATCCTTATCAAAATGAATTCAGTTATTAATTAAATTCAACTCAGGACATGACAGGGAAGCTAAAAGTTAATACAAGATAATAAAAGTTCTAGTCCCGAGACCCCTCCGGATTCTCGAATCCGGCGAAATAAGACTCTTTTTCTCCTTCAGGAAGGCTGTCCTCCACCCTTCATCGTTGTTCGCAACGGCCTTGCAACTTTCATAGCGACACAATAGTTGCAACTCGGAGCGGTCTCTGCTACTTCTGCAATTCGTTTTGTTTTTCAATCACAATCTCTGTTGTTTTCGCTATCGCAACTAATGTTGTTGTGTTTCTTTTGAGTTTTTCCGCCAAAATGACCGTTTTTGACGTTTCTGAGAATTGTTACGTCATCACTTCGAAAAATTAAAATTTCAAAATACCAGAATATCTTGACCTTCACCGTTTTACTAATCGTCCCAATAACGTTGTTAATAAATTCGCTGCTAAAAACTCTGAGACTGCAGAGATTGCATTTTGTCCATTCTGGTCGAATGTCACAATTATGGAAAATTGCTCATCAGAGAAAAGAAAAAAATTAAAATAAATCTAGCGTCACAGAAAGGAGGTTCGAATTGGCTAAGCGTGCTCCCCCTAAAAATACAATTTCTCTCTCAACAAATCAGAGTTTAAAGATGGATTACATCTGAGATATGGATGGGAACCTCCAAACACCCCACATACATGCCCGTGTGGACAACCGTTCACACTGACCCGCTCCCTACTCTGTCCCAAAGGTGGATACACTCACCTCAGTCATAATGAAATTCGCGATACCTTTGCGACACTCCTGGACGAAGTATGCCATGATGTTGAAATAGAGCCGAAACTTCAATCGTTGGTAGGCGAAAGCTTTCATAACAAAACAACCATTACTGAAGATGACGCTCGACTTGACATCAAGGCAAATGGACTCACGAGAGGTCGATACAGCCGAACCTTTTTCGATGTAAAAACTTTCAACCCCCATGCTAAATCCTGCCCTAAAACTATATCTGACGCCTACACATATCATTGAGAGTGTCAAAACATTAAAATACCAACAAAGAATTCTCGATGTGGAACACAGCAGCTTCGTTCTAATAATTTTTGAGTGTACCGGAGGAGCAGCACCGGGCTCTACAAAAATTGTCCAGAAAAAGCAGAGAAACTAAGCGAAAAACGGAACGAATCATACTCGGACACAATTAACTATGTAAGAACAAAAATAAGTTTTGCACTTCCGAGGAGTGCAATCCTCTGCTTTAGGGGGTGAAAAAATTCTACAAATACATCCAACATAGACAATTCTATCTGTGCTGTAATCGAGGAGGGTAGATTTTAATTTACAATTCTCTTGACGCATTAAAATAGACTTGATTTATTCATAAAATTTTGTCGAGGTATTTATATAGCGTTGGTCCATTTTAATTGACCCCTTTGTTTTCTCAATACTTCGACAAATCAAAAAACTTCCAGGTCGTTCGAATTAGGAATGAAAATTTCTTGAAATTAGTATATCACTCGAACCACTCAGCTGATTTGTATCTTTCGGCTGGAAGTACATACCAACAGAAAGTAACGCTAGATCCTAGAACCATTGCCTAGCGTCCGGATTAGGGATAGCCTAGTTCCTGCAAAAAGCAAATGTCACCCAAGAAAAACAGATAGAACAAGAGCTGCAGTTGATATTAAGAGTGTCCGTGCAATACTCGACAACCTGGATACGCTTTTGGGTACAATAAACGCTGAAACGCTTTTGGGTACAATGTGAAGTCTCTCAAGTGTCAAATGATTATGAAGGAAAAATGCCAGCCGAAACGCGGAAAGGCTTTTGTGTACAATGTGAAGTCTCTCAAGTGTCAAATGATTATGAAGGAAAAATGTCGGAAATGCGCCATAATGGTATTCGAAGAGGCAAACATTACAAAATTAGATTTTGTAGAGTCTTTTGATCAATGCTAAGAACACCATCAGCATGCGATAAGTAAATGGAGAGCAAAAACAAAAAAAGTACTCTAACAAAAACTTTTCCAGTATAACTAAATTATCACCACAAAATGCGTGCTCCTGCTACACAAAAGCATTTCAAAATAAGTCACGCTTTCTAACAAGAACATCCCTGGAAGTATCCAGGAAAACGGACGAAATTGAGAAAAACATAAGACATCAGCTACTTCCTAGTATTACCGGTAGAAACCATATAACCGATGAAGATAGCAGCTTTTATGCACTACAACTACGAATGGGAGAGTTAGACCTCAGAAAGACGTTCTTTTCTAGTACTTAAGAGTGTTCACGAGCCATTTGTAATCCATAAGAAAACAGTGATCCAGAATTATTTTTGAGAAATAGAAACATCAAAATTTGAAACAGAACATGGCATTTTCGAAAAAAAATTAAAATTATTGAAAACTGCTCATCAGAAAAACAATAAATAAGAAATCTAGCATCAGACAAAGAAACTTTGAACTGGCCAAGCATGCTACCTTTGACAAAATTACAGTTTTCACCTCAAAAAATCAGAGTTTGAAGATGGCTTACATCAGAGACATGGATGGGAATCACAAACATTCCACATACATGCCGATTTGAAAAACCTTTTTTACTGATCCACTTTTTAAAAAGGACTAAAAGTAGAACAGAGTAAAAGACTAAGAGTGAAGAGCTGATCTAGTTACTGAGTTTCAGTCTCAGTTCTGTTAATAATCATGGCGTTTAGTAGTAGCCTGTGTTTTTTACCCTATCTTCTTCCTCCTTTGATCGAAACTTGGCTCTAGGACGTTTGCTTGTAGGTGCTATACTCTTGTGGGTTTTTAATGTTGATTAACTTTAGATTTTTATTTTCGAAAAACAAGAGAAAACAACAGCTTTTTTTAAAGGTCCCATTCTTACTTGCAATAAAACACACCACTAACAAATTACTTACTAATTGGCGATGTAGAAACGTTCTCAAACAAAACTGAAACGCTTAACGCTTCGGCAATAAATGAAGTAAATCTAGTACACAACTTATTATCATGAATTGAATATTGTTACACAATGTTTCAAGGTTGTTTCGTATATTTTATCAAAATTTACCAGCTCGACTCTCCTGTTGTCCATGAGCAATTAGGCATCTCATGATAATATTTTATTGAGAAAAAATTTTGCGCTTGAGTCAGTTTAAGCCACGTCTCTGTGAACATTATTTCAATCGGTTTGATTGGAAAACTGTTGAAAAGAACGCAAAATTATTGTTTTTTTGTTTACTTGATGTTTCTGAAACAATTTCTTGAAGTATTTTTCATATTTACGAGAAATTAAGAAAAAACTCTGCAAGACAAAAGTTTAACTGTAACCAAGGACTCACAGAAATTTGCGACAGTTTGAAAACTAATAAGCAGATGAGCCGAAAACTGATATTCAAAAAATGTTTTTCGATCTGAATGAAAGTGACTGTGCGCTAAAGTTTTCGCAACGAATATAAAGCGGATTGATTACACCAGTGATCCTACATGCAGATCACTTCCAATTGAAAAATTGAACAATAAATTTTTTGGTTATGCGCGTTTGTCCTTGAATCGCCTCTGATTATACATCGAAGAAAGTATGCGGTTTCAAAAAATTTGTTCGGAAAAAATGTTTTACATTTCTGTTTTTGATATAGTCAATGTACCAATATTATTGGAAAAGTAAATTTAGATTAATTTGGTTGAAAAAAAATAATTGCGTAAATCCTCCATTTGATAAATTTTTTTCGTATTTCATCAAATCTCATTTTGTCCACACTAAATGTATGTAATGAAGTGTTCATATAATTTTGAAGAGTGCATATTTTTTATGTTCAAAGAAAAAAACGCCCGATTAAAAATGAAAAGCTTTTTCATATATGGCAACGAAAAGTTTTCAAACTTCAAATTGAAGAAATAAAACAATTCGTCTCTTATTAGCGAAATCGTTTTTAAGCACGAAAATGTTTTCAAGTAAAAAACACTTTGACTGAACGTAGTCCACATTCAACTTCACAAACAGATAAATTGGAAACTAATCTAAATTTTTGTGCAAAACCGAATTTGATTTTTGAGTTTTCCATACGGCAACAGACTTTCAATCTGTCTGAAAAAAAAACAGACCACGATTTTCGATCAAGTAAGTTTTTGGTATCTATTTTTCTATGATAAATACCATTGCTATTTTGTTTTGCGTCAAAACACAAAAACATGCAGTTGAACTCGAAACATTTTTAAGTTGAGCAGAAACGCTTAGATTATGGTTTTTCATTCAAATAATTTTTTTAAGAAATAAAATTTATCACAGATAATTCAACTAAATTTTGGCACGCATGTTTTTCATTGGAGTCCTATATATATGTTTGACAGCCAACACAGAAAAACTGAAGTGTTTCGAACTTTTCAATGCTCAGTTTGTTAAAGAAAAACATTTTGTTCCAACAAAAGTAGTCCGAAATAGTGTTTCGTATTCACAAATTTTAATTTATATATAATTTTTTGAAAAACCAAAACACGTTATAAAAGTATACAATTATAAGAGAGATCAGATTTATACGATAAATTCTGCGTCTAGAAGAAACCGATAAATTGCCAAAAATTTTTTGTGGCAAATATCTTTTCATCGAGTTCTGCAAGATTGATGGAGATAAGGGCGGCTCAGCTCCAACATAAAACGTTTTCTAAGAGCAATCTGAGATTTTCTGGCAAAAAATATAATCGAACAGCAAAAACTTTGAGTAGTTGTTTTTAATTGAATAAGGATTTTGATCTCAAAATATAAGATTAAGTAGAAAAAATACATGAACATAAAAAAATACGGTATACGATGTATTCGGAATGCACATTAATCAGATCTTTGTAGCTTCAACACACTGGTCCGATAAACCAAAGAAAAACATTTAGTAGGTCAAGACTCGACTGCTTTTGTTTATTTTGTGTCTGATCATAAGTTGAATTGGGGCATATTCCTAAACTAACCATTAACTGTTAATAGAACTTTTCCTTTTTTTTCCATCTGCTCGTAATTTGCTGTATCACTCAGGTTAAAGTAAAACCAGTTAGGTTTTGCTCGAAATGTTTCTGCTTCCTGGCAATTTTTCAAAGGTCGGCACTGGAATTCAAGCTCATAGGGGTCCGAGTGGTGGTCTCTGTCAACTTTCTGTTTCATTGTGAAGAAAACAGTGGCTTCGTTGAACATCAAACTCTCGTCAAAGTTGTTAAAGTTTCGCAAGCAATTTGTTGCTGCCTAGAAAAACATTATCTTGACTCAGAAATTTTAACTATCTAGAGTAATATTCGGTTTAACCATTTTTTGTAAAATATTCTCGAACTAAAAATGACAAAACTGAACACCCTCAGTTTTAACCCTCCAAAACAATTGGATGAACTCTGAGAGGTTCAAGATTCAAAACATAGCTAATAGACAATTGGAAAAAAGCAATGAAAGCAATGATACATAAAAATAGCTAATTTGTTTTTTTTTGGAAAATTTTCAAGCTTCGACCTTTCAAGAAAAAAACGCCCTTGAAGCTCCTCGAATTTCAAAAAATAAAATGATTAGTGTTTTTGATAACATTAACTCAATGTGAGAAAACTGGATCATTGTAAAAAAAAATTTCGCTGTGATTAGTGAATGAAACGAAATTTGCAGGGATTAAAGAACAACATCCGCAAGAAAAGTTTCAATTTATTTCATTTTGAGCTCTAAAACCTGACAAAAAACACAAAGTTATCAGAAGAAAAGTTGAAACCTCATTATGAAGTCCCCGGGTCGTACCCATCAATTTTGAGCCATCAGTTAAATCGCATTTGACGATATCAATTTAAAGCGGAAAAATCATGAGGAGACTTGTTGACTGCATACTTGTGGTAATTGATTCCAGTAACTGAGTCCCTATCAAGGGATTTTTCTTTCTTCAATCTTTCAAATTGTTTCAATTTTCACTACAAAAAATATGAAAAAATAATGTCTAGTTTTGTTTTTTATGTAGCATTATATCCTCAAAAAGGTTCCAACAAGATAGTTTCTGTCTTAGTCAAAATTCTGAAAAGGAACAAAAACAAAACGAGACCACCTCAAAAACACAACTGACAGTCAAACTTTAGTTTAGGTGAAAGTTTTCACAAGATAAGTTAGAAAAACGCTCGAGACAATTGAGAAGAGACAAATAGTAGTTTCTGCTACCGCCATGTCTCGGAAATTTAGTAAGGAAAATGTCTTGCAACATTAGGGTCAATCTTTAAATTTTACAAGAGTGAACCCTTTAAATACTCTATGGCCACATTTTTTCTTATTTGTAGACACATCCCCCTTGCCCAATAAAAACTGTAGAAAAAGCAAACGAGATCAAAACCACAATTTCTATACAATATATAAATACACAGTTTTCCCGTCTTAGCCTTTAAATAGTGAGATCTCTTTAAGTAGTCTCCCCCCTCCACCTTTGCAAGGGTGAGATTATTTACTAGGAACAAACTGCATATGCTTAACCGTTGAATTATTTCAATTAAGGGGCGGCAATTCGTCAGTAGGTACCAAAAAAAAGGTAAATTGAAGAAGTAATTGGAAAAATGGTTGTTGAAAAAAATGGCAAGCTTCATATCAATTGTTTTTACCACGAAAACAAACTTCATTTCAAAAAAGTATTTTGAATAAATTACCGTTTTTGTACTGATAACAGCAACTGGCGAAAAATGGAATGAACTGACGCTAATATGATTTTCGCCAACTTCAAGCTCTTTTTCATCGGTAGCCACTGTTTTGGCTACTGAACAATCTGCGTAATTTCCCTTGTATGGAAGTTTAACAATCACTTTTCGAAGAAAAGTAACATGTTTTTGCGCAGAAATGAAAACAACGGGAGTGATCAGTTTTTCCCAGCTTTCTAATCTGTTAATTTCATCCGGAATGGTTACTTCAATCGCTAGTTCTCGCTCTCCGATGAGGCAGTTCTCCGGGAAGTAGATTTCAATCAAATCTGACTGGTAGATTGAGTCCACATTCTCGAATTGAACGAAAATTGTTTTCTCGTTATTATTCAAGTAAAACGTTTCTGAAAACGTCTTCTGCTTCTTCATGTCATATTTGCATGGTTCTAAAACGAGCAAGATTAAAATGTTAAACGTTGGCTTTGCTTTGAATGATTAAGAATAACATACTTAATCGAATGTTTTAACATGAAAAGATATGAAGTAGCTTTAGGACGCATTTGAGAGCTGTTCGAAAACAAGTACTTTAGGAACATCAAGTTCAAAACTCAAAAACCAGGATTGCTACTGTAGTTTCAGGTCCAACAAAATATAATCTTTCCATTTTCGTAACAAATCCAAAATCAAAAACAGTGGCCTTTGGGCGTCTTTTCTGTAGACGAATTGAGCATTTGAAAAATGTTCAAAAAGCAAACATTTTTTGGGAGAAATCTCAACAGTCAAAACTTTTACCTGCATCTGCATCTGTTGTTTGAGTAGGGGACCCATATGGTATCAGCATATTGGTCAAAGAAGCATCTTTAGTCTCATAAATTTTGATCATTTCAGTCTCAACCAAGCACTTGTCTATTGAACCGAGGAAATCAATAGCCCATTTGATATTATCAGGCTGCAGTGTCTCGCACGCTCGGTAAATTAACCCTCTATTGTAAAATTTAGACCTCAGGCATTGTTCGTGCTTATGTATTTTATCGTAATAATATAGATCTGGATCATAGCCGATGTACTGTGTAAACGAGAGTTTCGATGAGCTGGGATACAATAATAGGACCAAAAAATTGTAGCTGTTCCACTTCAGACTTAGATTCAAACAACTTTCTAATTCTGCAGCGTCAAAGATGAAATTGATTGGCTGGCATCCTTCTTGGCAATGAAACAATGTTTCAAATGTGATCCTAATTTTTTCGCTTGTAGATTGACCTTGGAGCTCGGAACTAACGTCTATATAGCTGTTGTTGAATAGCATAAGCTCAAGAAGGAGAATATTGGGAAACTGAAGAAGATTCCGGATGCATCCAAACACGAAATTCACATTTGCGGTTGACCATGCTGCGTTTAAAATGCCTTTTTGTAGACCGAGTTGACTAGTATACTGACAAAGCAGATCTGAAGATACAGTGGTGGTGGAAAGATTTTTAAGGTTTTCAAAAAAATCCATTTGTTGGACTGTAGTCGAACAAATTTTTTCAATCGATTCAATTTCTGCCGATTGAGCTTCAACAATTTTGTTCACGGGAATATCGGAAGTTGTTTCAATTCTATGTATGAGGTCAAATACGCAACTCATTGGAAAGTTTTTATTCGTTTTGTTGATTTTTTCAGTGGAAATGTCATTTGGCAAGTTTCTCAACAGATACTGAATGAAACAAACAAGAAATCTCCTGAACCTTGCTTCATAGTCTGTGAACAACTGGTTTCGATCTGAGGAGAGGATGCTTTCGAGCCGGTAAATTTGGCCAATTTTATTATTCTTTAAAATTTCACAGAGTCGTATCGCATCACAACTATTGTACCTCAAAAAAATTTCTTGTACGATTTCATACAGGGTGTAATATTGTATGAATTCGCGATTGAACATGAATTTCTCTGTTTCGGTTAACTGGCTTTTGGCAATCCATGATATGGGGCAGTTTTCGGAATTAAAGTGGTCCCACAGAAGACGAAAAGGTACTCTTTCTGCTATGAACTGTAACAGTTCGCGGTAGATGTCTCGTTCGTTAGAACCTGATGACATCAGCGCTGTTACAATGGTATCTTTACCATAATCAAGAGGTTCAATTTCCCATATCAAGCTGGGCTCCATAAATTTTTTTAGGAATTTAATTGCCCAATTGATATTTGCATGCTTTCCAGTTTCACAGGCTTTGTAGAGTAACCCTTTGTTCCACTCATGCTTTCTAAGAAAGTCGACATATTGATTTCGGTCTCTCAAACTTAGTGGTATTGACTTTCGGAAACCCAAGAAGCACTGAAACGTAAACTGAAAGACTTGTTGTCCTTCTTCGAAAGAATCAGGTTCGGGGTACCAACCAAAACCACTGTAGAACAAAGTAAACTCTGATATATGGGGAAGAATTTCAGGAGCAATATGTGAAAAAGATTCATGTGTGAGGAGAAGCTGCTTCATTTCCCATTCAAGAAACTTGTATTTACTTGAATCTGACAGGAAATTTACCAGATTATAGGCCACTGATCCGTTCCAGCTCTGAATGGCTCTATGCAGTAGTCCTGTTCCGTCAAAATAACTTGCAATAATTTGATAATATTCTTCACTGTTAGAAACTGATTCAAACTTTGGCAAGTCGAAGATGATTTGTGCACATTCATCAATTTCATACGTTTGCATGCCTTTAAAATTTGGAATTATTTTGAGAGATTCGATCCAAGAGTTTATTTGATCCAGCACAAGCTTTCCTCGGATTCTCTTGTCGCATATCAACAAAAGAAAAAACAGTACAATTTCCTCATAAATTGAGTTCGTTCGATCAGGCAGTAACGACGATAGAGGCCTAGATTGATACGTACCAGTTATTTCCAATTCAAGTTTATAGAAGCTGTAGGACTTGAGAATTTTCAGCGAAAAAAGAATTTTGGAGTTTTCACCACTTCTTAATGCGTGAAAAAAAAGGAATAGTGTGCGCCTGTTTGAAGTCATACGTTCTAGTACATCTGACGAGAGTAGAGATGGGTTATTAATGTCTAAAACAGAAAAACGAATTATAAGTATTTGGATTATATATATTTTTTGCTTATATTATGCAATCTGCATCCAATTTTTGCGTACCATTTTAAGTTATGTTTGGTGCCTTTAAACGTTGAAAAAAGTGCCTAAGTTTTAATACAGAGGCAAAGCCAGCACCAGCGAGAAGACGAAAAACGAAACAGCTTTGTAAAGTGAAATACAATATAAGCCTAGAATGAAACTAAACCTCAATATTAAGAATTAAGCTTCGAATTAGTGACTTTTTCAACATATCGGATTCGACACTGCAACCTCGAGATACGGAGTCTCGCGCCTTGCCCGCTCGGCCACGAAAACTTAACGATCGACAAACACTACAGCTACATATGCTAATAGATTGCCAATGCAGAACAATTTGCATGAATTGGTTTGGAATAAAATACACTGAAGGCATCTGCGCTAACTTTGCATGTTAAAAAGTGGAAAGCATAAAGCCAAAATATGTATAAATTTTGCATTTCAAAAATATTGCAAAAATATCGAGTTGGAAAATTTCTAAAACTGAGTTTTTAAAATTGAACTAATGTTTTTAAGCAAACAGCTTTTTTTGGTTCAATTGAACAATGAGAAATGCATCAACGGTGTTCACTTATTACTAATCGAATGACAAAGCTTATGCTTTCAAGCTATCAAAAAATTGTAAAGGTGTTTCAGAAGAGGCACAAATATTTGCAGCTTAGGTTGGAAAAAATACAAGTCGTACTATTTCACTACGCTCATTTTGTTCGCTAGAGTAATTACGGCTAAAATGTTGGATTATGATGACAGTTAGTGATTAATTAGTGAACAATAATTTTTTGATAGATTAATTTTTTTGGTGTACGACCTGGTATGAAAGAGATATTAATTCGCCACAAGATTGTTGATTTTGGGACGACAAAACAGAAACCTGGTCTTTCTAGATTTAAAATTGCAAGCTATTTAAAAATCTTTATGTCAATTTGAATATCTTTTGCGACTTTAGCATAAAAAAGTCCAGAATTGTGTTCAAAAATCAATTCATTAACAATCTTTTGGGAAGGCAATTTCGAAACATAGCCAACAGACAGTTGGAAAAGTGTCAATGAACGCAAATAAACAAAAAATGGATGTTAATATAATTTTTCGAACTTTCGAATATAAAAGAGAAATATAGATGGCGTGAAATCAAACAATTTATGAAATATGAATTTTTCGGTAAATTTTTTTTGATAAAACGCTTTTTTGATAAAAACTAAACCAACTTGAGAAAATTGGGTTGGTTAAATTTTTATTTGGCTGGGATATTCGATAATTACATTCCACATGATTTTGTAGAAAAATTAATGATAGACACTTTTTTGTTAAAATTAACCCAGTTTGAGAAAACTAGATGAATACGTATAACTTTTATTTCACTGGAAAATCTGATTAATAATTTCCATTTTCAAATCAAAAGTCGATCCCATTTTTCGTGGCTTTTACACTTTTGCTGTTCGATAGTGGAGTTTGCTTTCCTTTTAACAAAAGTAATGAACTGAACATCAAAAAAGGAAAAGTCAAACTGCGAAAAATAAAATTTGACCGTGAACAAATTTTTCAGAAAAAAAATCAAAATCATCGCGACCTATATAAGAGTCTTAAAACTGACTCTTAAAACAAACCTGGAACAAATATCTGAAACAAGATGATACGTAGTACTCAGAAATCATTTAGCTTCAAAAAACATGGAATTACCTGAGCCGTTAATTCCGAAAGAGAGTGGGTCACTGCATCAATAATCCTCAAGAAGATGAAGTGCGGTTGAAAAAACAAAAAAGTTTAAAGTTATCGAGCAAAACAGGGTAAAAAGGAAATTAGTTGGTTCTTTATTAAAAAGGAACAAAATATAGGTTAAATTTGTTCTCAGTGGTTGAAAAATATACAAAAACATACCCTGTTTTGTTTTCACTCGTAAAATAAATCAGCTACAATCGGTCAGACAATTGAAGCTTATGGATGGAAGAGAAACATCAGTTGTTCCAAAAAAACGTCAAGGCAGAAAAAACTCTTTAGTTGATGCGGCACAACTTTTCAAACGGCCAACTTTTCCAGTATCCCTGTTTCGTTTTATCGTGAAAAAAGCATAACTCAGCAAAGAGTTTAAAATAACTCGAAAAAACGCTAATCTGATCATTTCATTAATCAATTCAAAATTTAGCCAAGAGACAGTTCTAAGAGAGCCAATGAATCTCAAACTTCTTAACTTTCGAATTTCAATGAAATAAAACATTTGACCTTAATGCTATTTGAAGTTTTAGACCAATTTTGCCATTTTTTTTTGATGAAATTAACCCAGTTAGAGAAAACTGGATCAGTAAACTTATTTGTTTGGAAATCTGAAAATTAATTTCACTTTTGAAACAAGAATTCGATCAATATTTTTATAGTTTTTAAAAACTTGCTGTTTCGTAACTAAGTTTCCCCTTCTTTTAATAAAGCAAATATATTGAATCATTTGAACTGAAAAATATATCAAAAGTCAATCAGCGAAAAATTAGATTCTGTAAATTTTGACTTCTGAAAAACAAAACATCCTGTCTAAGCGTACGAATTATGTTCGTTAACTCTTAAAAACAGTTTCTAATATAAAACTAAAAAATCACAGTGGAAAGTTAGTAATAGCCAGTAAAACTTGCATCATTGAGAACTGCAAAAAAAGTTCTTGCTTTTTTTAAACCTCAACTGAGAAAAAAATTGCAATGTGTCTCAAATTTCTCTGCTCCAAATAAAAAACTGCTTTCCAAATAAGATGCTAAAATACGCCAAGATGAAAAAATACGAGTTTTACTAATTGAATTTTTTTTTTCAATATTTTATGTTTCTACACTTCTTTGTACCGATATGATACCAAAATTGGAAAATTTCATCTCTGAAACACATACACAGAAATATTTGACATACGAAGGGAGAAAAGAAAAATTTCACCTGGACAGAAAAGTTTCCAAGCTGATGCAGCGACGGCAACTGAAAGCACAGTTTCCAGGTCATGAATTTCCCGCAAATGAAGTAAAGTTTTTTCACTCCAATCTCGTTCAACTCTTTTCTGCAGCCAATTGTAATCCGCATCACTTCGTTCTTGGGGGCTTAGCCAGTAGGAAACGATAGGGCTATCGCCTCTCATGAAATTCCAGTAGTTAGACTCGATCCCAATAAGACGTTGGACATAATCGAGCCACTTTTTATCTGCTTTCAGTGTTTCCGTGGCTATAATGTCGACTTCAAATTGAGCTCTTGTGATTGCTAAATTTATAGCACTAAGAGAGGTAAACGCCTCAACCAGTATCAAAACTGATTGGAACTCGGTGCCCGTGAATGGGAGTTGACGTGGATCGACCTTCGTTTCATCTATTATTACAAATTTTTTCTCGTCTACATTCGCTGTTTCAAAAAATTTAGCATTCTCATAGCGATCACTGTTTTCTTTCATTGTGAATAAAACCATGAAAAAATCTGTATTTCTATGATGATACAAGAAGTTTGTTGTGGCTGGTGCATTCAATAAATTCAATTGATCTGACAACTGTAAATATTCCAGTCTAATTGCTGGCTGAGAGGACTGAAAACATCCGGCGATGACGTCTTTATTATCTGTAAAAACTCGACCAGCATTGGATTCGATAAATTTGTGCGAAGTGTCACAAATGTGTCGTGAGTTTCTGAACAGTACATGTAACGTTTCCCGTTTAAACTGTGACAGGTGCGTTGATAGATCTAATTGGCTAACAAAGTGGCCAGTTTCCACAGCTACAGCCCAGATAACGTTAGAGAGCCCTAGAAACTTCGAAAGTGCCAAAGCTTCCTCTTCTGAATAAATTTCGTCTATTAGAATTGCAATTTCACTTGGGTTTTCGTGACTTGATTGGTTCCTTAAACACAAAACCGCGAGTCAAAGAGTGGATCAATGGATTATATTTGGTTTTAGTTTCTAAAAAAAAGTACAGATATTGCGAGGCCAAATCTGTGCAGTTTCTGAAATGTAACCTAATTTTGATTTTCTTTGAAGTGCTGTTTTGGATTACAAAATCAAATTGCTAAAACATTGTAAAGCATAAAATCGCTCCAAAATAGGCGAGTTTGCGAATCTGCAATGGTATTTCCGGATTCCGGAACGGTTTGTGGAGTCGACAAACAAATAAAAAATAAGTATAGTAATTGAGCTGTTGTGGTATTCGCAACTAGAAGCGAAATACGCAAATTTTAAGCGGAATCATCTTACACTTTGGGAAATTCGCTTGAATTTGTGGGTTCCGCTTGCAAAATTTGCGGATTCTACTTTGCGGATTCTAGTTTGTGGAATCCACTTACTTCCTGCGGAACACGCTTACAGTTGTAGAATCCAAAACAACCAGCGATATTCGCTTGTTGCCGAATCCGCAAAAAAACAAATAAGGACAAAATTTAGTGATAATTATATTTAGGGACAAAGTGATTGTACGCGAATTCCACAGAAATTTTGTAGGTGAAATCCACTTACTTTTTGGAACAAGTTTAAATGCTTATCTTTGGAATCCAAGAAATTAAAGACACCAAATTGTGCGCCTATCCAGCGCACAGTTTGGCATCGTACTGGATTGACAAAAATTAGGTTCAGTTGGTGTACATTAAAAACTTAATCTCATTTATTCTCAACGTTGTACCTTTGGTATTTGCCGTGACATAAAATACGATTTTTCAGCATTTAAATTTTAGGAAAGTTGTCATTTTTGTCAGGTTTCTAAGTTTTTGTGTGACATCAGAACAAACTAACGGTAATGCATTTTGGCTTGGATCCAAATAAAATGGGTACCAATATCTATTAAAAGCAGCAAAGCAATTCCTTAAGGTTGACAAGTGTATTGGTCGCTTGGAAATGAGTAATCAAGATGCCCCTGAGTATCTGATCTCCTTTGAGCGTCCTTAAATATCATAACTCAGCGTAATAGCAAAATCACGCTACACTCATATTTGCCTCCTTCTGTGCAAGACATTGAAGGTATGAAAAAAATTGCTATATCAACTATAATTTGAGTGAAACCACGGAACTGGTTCTTTTTTGGAGGCTTGATGTTTGCTGAGAACTGCAATTTTTATTAAATCTTATAGTTCACAATTTTTTTCAAATTGTTCTAATCAAACTATCATTCCATTCAAACCATAATTCTATTGAGGTGCACATTTTTGAATTTGAACAAAAAACTATTGGAAATGAACGCGAGCAAGAGGAAACTGATGACTTAATAATTCAATCAAAAGCTATGTTGAAACTTCCAAGAATTAAACAAGCATATGGAGCTTTGCTTGTCTCCAAAGTCTCACAAGCAAGCGAAAATTTTTCTAAAAAAGAACTGACACATGGGGAAAGAATCATCAAGTCATCCGTGGTATACTCTGGTTGAAGCAGTAGTAAAAAGTAAATTGGAATTACTGTTGTACAAAATGCTGAAATTCTTGCAATTGTTTTCAAACTGAAACCTATTTAAGAACCAATTAATGACCAGCTGTCCAACAGTTGTATTTTGTAGAGTACAGCAAGTTAAAACAGAAAAATGGTTTGTACGGAAATCATGAAGTACAGTTTTAATAAGCCATTCCACATACAGGTTCCTGTTATCAGTGCAAAAGATTCTAAAACAATAAAACGAGTTGCTTATGTAAACTATACTTGAACAAACTCCAAAAACTAGTTCAAGCCTTATGACCATTTCTGCTTCTTAAGAAAATAGTGTAAAATGACTGTTATGTTTTGCGATGTTTTAGTCAGTTGTATGTAATTTACAGCCTCAGCAAAATCACTTGTGAGTTAGAACATTAAAATTGTACAAAAAAGGGAAAATTTATCAAAAATGACTTTTATCTTATAATTGGTTCTTTATTGTAGCTACTTGATTGGTACTTGATAGCACGAATAGAACTATTTAGCTGAACAGTTGAAAACTCAAAATATCATGTCAAACTTTCCAATCAACAACATCGTTGTTCTCATTTTTTCAATCAAATTTTTTTAATATGAAAAAACTAACTGTCAAAAGCATTTTCAAGGTCTGAATTAAAGGCTCATTTAAAAAACACTTCGTCAAGCACAAACATTATAGTTATTTTGAGATATGTTAATGTAAAATAAAATGTCATGCTGAGATTTTTTGACTTTATTTGAAAGATACTGGCTCTCATACTCGCTCAAGTAAAAAAAAATTGGTATTTAAAAAAATTGGTATTTAAAACATAGGCAACTAATTAGATTTTTATTGGAATTACTAAAAAGACTGGAAACTTTTGATTTGAAAAAAAAAAAAAAAGTAAAATAGATTCGGCAATATTCTAGGCCATCAAAAAAACCTGTTCGCTAATCTAACAAGCGGTTTGGAGTAACTGAATCATCAAACAATCAGCCCCATTCAAATTGACCAAAAATGCCATTTTCAGATACAATCTTCTAAGCTGCAGTAATTAGTAACTTGGTTACTGGTCAACCTTTCTAGCAAAATTTTCGCAATTATACTGACACGTGAGCAATCTTTTTGTAAATGGAATGACCGAAAACGTTGCACTGAGTCGGGTTACGGAAAATATATCCGGAATTCAATTTTTGAGTGCCGTACCACACTCTACACAGTGGTCTCATCTGTGCTTGTTGGTTTTTTTTTATCGCTTAAAGTTTGAAAACATCTTAATCAATTTAGCGAAAAAAGCTTTTTGACACAACTTGAATCCTCTTTTTCTGATGCACAATCCTAGATTGTTAGCTTTGTGCAACTGCTTCTTGTTTCTATCTTTGCTGTGAATAAACAGACAATTGGAAACGAATCAAGGAAAGCAAAGAAACAGGAAAAAACAGCTTCGTTGTTTGAAAAAACGTAAGCTTTCGAAATTGAAAGTATACAAATAGTCACCTTTGAAGCTCTATGAAATTCAAGAACTAATTAAATAAGACACTTTTTTGATTATATTCACTCAAATTGAATGGGAAAACTGGATCGAAAACAAAAACTTTTATTCAATGGGAAAAAGACAGCTTCGTTTTTTGAAAAAAGCCTCAGCTTTCGAACTTGAAAGTATGCAAATAGTCACCTTTAAGGCTCTTTGAACTTCAACTAATTATATTAGACACTTTTTAGATTATATTCACTGGGTCGATAACCAAAAATTTCATTCCGCTGGAAATTCTGCAAAACAACTTTTTTTCGAAGCTAGAAATCCATCACGTTTTTTGCGATTTTTACACTTTTGATATTCAAAAGTGGAGTTTGCCTTCGTTCAACAAGACCTTAAAATAGACATCGTTTTTTAACAAGTTACATCTAAGTTGAATAAGTTAAAGCTATTAGAAAAGCATTCAAATAAATCTTCAAAAACCTCTGTTGTGATTAGATTTTAACAATCCATTGCTACTAAATTAAACGACTCTTGAAATAATGATTGCATGTAGCTCTAATATGTTTATATTTGATTTGTTTTGGTTCTGCATAACAAATTATTGCTAGGACTTTTCGACTTTTTACAATACTTGTACCCAAAAAAGGCCGTTGAAACTGGATATAAATCTAGTATAAGCAAGAGCCATAGCAAAACAAAGCCAAATTTTATTTCTTACAAAAATGCTACAATGAATTGGGTTACTACAACTATTAGTCCCCAGATCATGTGGCTAGGTGGTCAAGGCTCTTGTATAGCAATTTTGAAATGGTGGGTCTTACTCGAAATTGATCAAATTTAAGTGACCCGGGCTGAGGTGTTCGACTGATGATTCGACTGACACGGCCGAACGGAGTCCAATTTGTTTTTGCGAATTAATACGGTCGAACGAACACAATAGTCGAACAAAGTCGAATCATGAGACAAACAGGGTCAAATCATGGGTCGAACCGGGTCGGTAGATTCAAACAAAGTCGAATCATGAGTCGAACAGGGTCGAATCATGAGTCGAACAAGGTCGATAGCGTCGAACAGGGTCGAATCATGAGTCGAATCATGAATCGAACAAGCTCGAATCATGGGTCGAACAGGGTCGAATCATGAGTCGATCAGGGTCGAACCATGAATCGAACAAGCTCGAGTCAAGGGTCGAACAGGGTCGAATCATGAGTCGAACAGGGTCGAACCATGAATTGAACACGGTCGCATCATGGGTCGAACAGGGTCGAATCATGAGTCAAACAAGGTCGAACCTTGAGTCGAATACGGTCGAATCATGAGTTGAACAGTGTCGAATCATGAGTCGAACAGGGTCGATAGAGTCGAACAGGGTCGAATCATGAGTCGAACAGAGTCTAATCATGAATCGAACAAGCTCGAGTCTTGGGTCGAACAGGGTCGAACCATGAGTCGAACAGGGTTGAACCTTGAATCGAACACGGTCGCATCATGGGTGGAACAAGGTCAAACCTTGAGTGGAACAAGGTCGAATCATGGTTGGAACAGTGTCGAATCATGAGTCGAACAGGGTCGAATCACGGTCGAACGAACACTATAGTCAAACAAAGTCCAATCATGAGTCGAACAGGGTCGAATCTTGATTCGAACAGGGTCGATAGAGTCGAACAAAGTCGAATCATGAGTCGAACAGGGTCAAATCATGAGTCGAACAAGATCGATAGAGTCGAACAGGGTCGAATCATGAATCGAACTAGCTCGAACAGGGTCGAATCATGAGTCGAACAGGGTCGAACCATGAATCGAACACGGTCGAATCATGGGACGAACAGGGTCGAATCATGAGTCGAACAAGGTCGAACCTTGAGTCGAACAGTGTCGAATCATGAGTCGAACAGGGTCGAATCATGATTCGAACAGAGTGTAATCATGAATCGAACAAGCTCGAGTGTTGGGTCGAACCATGAGTCAAACAGGGTTGAACCTTGAATCGAACACGGTCGCATCATGGGTCAAA